TATATATATATATATATTTTAAGTAAATAGAGTAAACCAATTTTGAATTCATTTATTGAGTCGAAAATTGTACAGCGAATGTTAATAATGTTAATAATTTACAGTTTTATCGCATCTATTATTTTGTTCGCGTGCGTGCCACGCGCTCGTGCGTGTGTATGTGTATGTATGATAATCTATTCTATATGCTATTATCTGAAAAAAAAACTGATGATTTAAAGGAAATTAAGAATCTGAGAATCAATGAATTCAAGGAATTAAAAATTCCACAATTATTTTGAATGTTTTTTATTATTTACGCTACAATTTTCGATCGAATAAATCGAAATTTAAAGTCGGCTTCCTCTATTCGTTATAAACAATCGAAGATTAAATTTTATAAGATAGTTAAGAAATGACGAATGATACATGATACGCTTGAGACAAATCGATCACCTTTCATTCCAAATTGATGGAAATGACGAAAGCAATCGAGCGAGAGAAACTGACGTGGCGATCGATTATTTAGAAATACAATAAAATAAGAAATACAGTAAAACAGAAGTGATGAAATTCGTTGTGACTTGAATTAATTCTCGAGCGGTTGCGCTTTTAAAATAATAATCAGGCACCCATAAAGCATTTGTTTATTATTATCATTAGTAAAATGTTTCACATTTATTATTATGTTCTTAAAGATAAACTTCTTGTACATATTTTTCATGGTTTAAAAATTGAAACAGTATTAGAGGATATGTAATTGCAAAAAAATAATTGTTAAAAATAGATTTGCCTAAATAGTTTTATCAAAATTTATCAAGATATTTTTATCGAGATATTGATTAATCAATGTGTTATATATGCTCCCGCTTGAGATTTAAATCTTCCATAAATCTTATTTCTATAAGAACGCGAGGCTAGTTTGGTAGTAGGTCGTAGATGAATGAGCTAGGTGACCGAGTTCTAGTGCAAAGCCTTGTGCCTTCAGCAGCGGATATCGGCTCACCACAAACAGAAAATAAAGAAAAATACGTGAAAATTAACCGTCCGTCTTAATCTTTTAATGAAAAAGAAGAAACACTTGCTACAAAAATTGTAAGTGAAATCACGCGAGTTTGGCGCATTGTTGTTGTAACGATGAAGATAGAGAAAAAAGAAAGATAGAAAGAGAAAGAGAGAGTGAGTGGGTGAAAGGCAAGATAGGTGGGAGACATAAAGAATAGACTGCGAAAGTAAATTATTAAGAATGGCTATAGTTGATAGAACATTTTGAAAAAATAATTATTAAACGCGAGGATTGTAAGATGAGAGTTAAATAAGAATTATGAAAGAAGTTCTTATAGTTTGCAGAAATCATAACAGAATATAATAACACACTTAATCTCTAATGATTAGAATTAAAGGATGAATACAAACGATGACAAAGAATTCTTGGATTCTTGGATCTTTAGATTTTTAAGGCTTCCTCTATTCTAAGAGTTTGAATCCTCGACATACTCGAATTCTTAGATTCTTGGATTCCAAGATTCTCGGATTCTTAATCCCTTGAATAATTAATCCTTGAATTCACAAACGTTTAATTTTTTAGTCCTTTCGATTCTTTCAAATCTGAATTTCGTAGATTCTTGATACTATAAAATACTTAATCACATACATATATTACTATTTATATGCAGTTTTATTCTATCGTAAATGTTTCGCTATTTAAATGAGAATGAAAATAGGCATCGCGTATATATATGTATATCCATGTAATACATATTTCATGTATATACCAGCAAAATTTTCACTACAGGAGATTCAGAAAAAATTAATTAAAACAAGATAAAACTCGAGTCAAAATTTGTCTTCTATTATCTAGTATTTTGACATCAAATATTTTTTAAATAATTTAAATAATATTATGATAAAACGAATTTTTAAAATAATTATTTCTCTTACTCATACTATTTTAAAATAAACATATAAAAATAATGTTCAATATTAAGAGAATCTAGCAGATACAAGAATTCAAGAATCGAAAGAATTTGTATATTTCAAGGATCTCAAATAATTATAGTTAAATTAAGTAAAAGATTTTCAAACTCGAGAAATCTAAGAACTTGAAAAAAAAAAGAAATTAAATATCCCAAGATTTAATAAAATGACTTCATAATATAACTATCAAATTTATGAATTTAAAGAATGTTAACAATCCAAGGATATAGGAATCCAAGTTTGCGACAAGTTATATTACATAAAACGCGTTCCAGCTAATCTCGCTTTACTTTCCTCGAACTTAACGATGCTTATAATACATACTGCTTAGTTGCAAAAGAAAGATTGTTAAAATCGCGTAACACGAAACACGTTTAATAAAGCGATCGAAAAAAGGCATAAGAAACGACAAAAATGAACACGCAATTCTACGATCACTGCCAAGGACGTTTACCGTCTACGTCATTCTCGTCTTGTTGAGATGTTGTCATCTTTTTCGAGATTTAAGAACCGCATGTGAGACAAAAACAAAGCGCGATAAAGTGAAACAATTAAACGCCTGTCGGGCGATTGTTCAGAATACTGCCAAGTGTAGAATCGAGTTTCTGTGTTTTTTTAAAAACTGTAATACGTCCATATATATATATATACACACATACGCACGCATATGTATATATATGTATGTATGTATGTATGTATGTATGTGTGTGTGTATATATATATATATATTTGATATGTGGATGTATTCATACATGTATATACACAAATATGCGCTCACATTCGTAATCGGTTAAGAGCACTAAATATTTTTACGCGCGTCGTATCTCTGTGTCTGTCCATCTTGTCGGAAAAATTGTACGCGATCGAAGATCTTGTGATAACAACATGCTAAGACACTTCGAGCAGAAGTGATATAACATTTCGCAATAGGACACATTTTTTTACAAACCTGACAAAAAGATCTTTTAGGAGGTTTTGTTTCGAAAAAGAAATACGCAACAAATAATAATATGGGGAAAAATGATGACTTAAAATTTAATGATGATTTAATTTAATTGACGCTATATGATTTGGTGATATATTGTTGTCGCAGTTTCTTCGATTTGCGATTAGGATCTAAAATATATCTAATATCCAAAACATCTTAGAACCCGAGAAATTTGAGATCCATGAGATCATGAGAGAAACTTCGGTCGCTTTTTTCGCACTACAAAAAAAAAAATCTTTGCACTTGGCAAGTGTCTGTGTCGCAAATTATCGGCTAGCTTCCAAGGATTACCATAAAAACGAAATTCGATGTCAGCCTTGCAAACGTCATTTGTTGCATGAGAAACTCTCTTACTACTATTATTATTAACTATGACAATTACTGCTGTTACTATGACTAATATTAGACTTTATCGCAAATGCGCGCGCGGATACCGCTATACATATTATTATTATGATTATTATTATTATTATTATTATTATTATTATTGAGATACTCTATCGCTATTACACTCTACTATCATATTATTACTCTATTACCGCTATACTACTACTACTAGTATTTTCATGTAAAACATTCACGTTTATACTTACAGGGAGAACACAATGATACAAGCGCACGCACATAGGCATTAAAAACGATACATGAGCGCACAGATCTTTTAGTATCTCGTTGACTCTTATTTCCTTAGATCTCCTTAACATCATAATTTCTTGATACTAAATCTTTCTCGATATCCACCGCATACGTCGATGATACTAGAAAACGCTTGATGCCGTACACATCCTTCGTAAATTCCTGCTGCGGAAAATCCACGATATCTCATAAACCTTTGATGCATTCTTTCATTACACTCAGAAGTGCGTTTATATTTACGAATGTTAATTTATATACAGAAGATTTAATCACACAGACGAACGATTGAAAAAAAAAAAGCTCTTCATCGGCTTTCGCATGAGTTGTATTTGCATTAGGTGCAATTCGATTTTAGTCTCTTTAGTGAAAAGTGTAAACGGAAAGAAAATTTATTGATATGGCGAGATTTTAAAAAAATGTATGAATTTATGATCGACTATAATTATAAATTGGTGCTTTGGAACGTATTAGACTGAATTATTGTTGTACGTTTTTAAGAAAGAAAGAAAAAAAAAGTAACGAAATTTTTGTCCGAATTATTTAATCGGCAAATATTATTTCTATTTGGAACGTTTTATACATACATATATGTATACATATATATGTACACACAAATACATACACATACACACGTATATATATACGAAAAAATGACATGGCGCGAGAGATACATACTATTATACGCGTGCGCGTGTGCACACATTTACACCACACACACACACGCACATACATACATACACCTCATATACATGCGCGCGCGTATAGAATTGTGAAATGAATGTGTCATACACGTAAAAAAAAAGATGTGCGGCGGAGATTTCGTCATGTTTGAATGGTTAAAAATGAAACATGTAGTATGAATTACGAATAATGTACATACACATACTCCCAATCGGAAAGGAAATATAGAAATTGTAAAAAGAGGATGATGAAATGCAAAAATTATTTGAATTGTGAAAAATCATAGGATTTGCAGATCCAAGAATCTAAGAATACAAGGATCCGAAGGATTCGAGACTCTAATTATTCAAAGAGTCGAGGATTTTCAATCCAAGGACCTAGAAAATCATGGACCTAATAAGTTCGCGAAACATACACGGATATTTGTACCTATGAATTTTAAAAAGCAAGAATTTTAAAGAGTGCGAGATAAAGTTTACGAAAATTAGAAACGCAAATATCTATTTAAAAAAAAATCTATGACTTCTCGCCATCTACAAATGTTCGAATCCAAGGATCCAGGTATTCATACATTCTCCATTATAGACACGCAACGATACATGTGTACATCAATTATATTATATTCTAATGATTACTAATTAATATATAATCCTACAATAATCTTAACAATCATTAACTAAAAATGATTTAGTTAATGAATATCATTAACTAAACCTTAAGCATATAACAGTTGAATGATCTGATTGAAGAAAGAGAAGTAGCAATGTTGAATGAATGGCCGTGTGAATGGGAGAGGAAAGAATGTAGAGGAAGAGAGACGAGAGAAACACAAAAATTACAATTAAGTAGCGACAGAAAACGAGAAAAACAAGAATTGTGTGGGCGAAAGCTAATGACATGTTTGCCATTTAAGTCAGTGTGTATTTTTTTTCAGAAAATAAAAAATAAAATAACGCATACTGCGCTCTTCATGACATAGTTTTGGAGTAAAAAATATAATTAAATGGAATTAACCAAGCTTTGATAACATTTTGATAACTTCCTTCATATATATCGTACTCTCTATTTAGGAATCTTGGATCGTGACACATACATCGCAAATGTCAGATTCCACAAATGTCCCATTTCATTTAAATATTACAAATATTTGGACTCCCTTCCCCTCTCTCTCTCTCCCTCCTTTGATCTTATACGATAATTCATCACACAGGTAGAGGTGTATAAATGTTATGTTTTTTATTCAATAGCCAATTGCGTGACATTGTCACGCAAAAAAATTTTTCCGAATATATGTTTTTATTTGACAGCCAGTCGTGTGACATTGTGTTTATATGTATTTCCTGCTGCAAAGTCCCCCCCCCCCCCCAAAAAAAAAAAAGAAAAGAAAAAGAAACGTAGGCTGCGTTCATCTTGATGCTGTAAGTGTGTAAGTGCTGAAAACGTTGGATTGACCAATCGGGAATCTGAGTTTAGAAAGTGTAAATAAAAGGAACAAGCCTATTGTTACTAGCTCGTTGTCATAACGACGTGTCTGTCAACATTGGAATGCATCATCGGTCGTGAAATACAGAAAGAGTCGAGCATTTTGTTTATAAAAATCTTATTTTAATTCCAGAATTTTGATTGAAAAGATTTGTATCCGATATATTTCGCATAAAATACAATATAAATATATTATATATATTATCGCATATATACAAAAAAATATAATTTTACAATAATTAGTCCATCTTTTAACTTATCTTTCTACATTGTTAATTTAATATCAACTTAAAAAAAAAAAAAAAAGAAATACAGCGCCTCAATCTTAAAGATTTTGATAATCAAAAATAAGAATTGACAAAATGTTTAGATAAAAATTAAAAATTTTATTTTTAAATGCTATTTTAAAAACTAGATTTTTTTTTCACAAAAGAGAAGTTATTTTCTGAATGAAATATTCCATATTTGTTGTTTTCTCATGAAAATCTTAATGGGTAGATGTATTATAAATAATTAGCATATTTTGTATATTTTATAAATCATAGCAGTATGATTTTATGGTATGGCCGAATTGCACATAATTGGGCATATTTCATCCGCAAAGAATTTTAAACAATCACATTTACTCTGCAAATGGAATTTTTATGTTGGTAAGATGAACAGATTCATGATTTTACAATTAATTGGATATATGAAAAATTTTTTATTGTTATCTTCTAGGTAATGGTTGGAAAATTGTATCAGGACAAGAAGAAGGACAAACACAAGAGAGTTGCGATATTTACACTAATAATCCGATCTGGGACCATCCTATAGACTTGCATTACACAACTCAGACTTTACAAAATTCTCCGAAATTATTATTGCAAGTGTTTTGTAGAGATAATTATGGAAGGATATTATTTCTTTCATATGGAGTACACAATGTTCCATTATCTCCTGGTTCGCACATATTAGAATGTCATACATGGAAACCTATTGGTATGCATAATTTTAAGTACATAAAACTTTTAAATTTTGTGTAACAACACTTATTATTATTATTCTCTCGGTAACAATTTTTATATAGGTACTTGGAAAGACAGACTGTATGACAAATTTTTGGGACGAAGTTTACAATTGAAGTCACCAAGTGTTTTAATCAACACATTAGATAGATTTGAAATATTAACGCAAAGTGTGGGAACAATAATCATTGATTTGCATATCCTGGCAAGAAATTTTGATAAATTTGGGTGCAAGTTGTGAACTGACAATTGTGAAGGCAAATACAAATCATATAAGCAGTTGATTTTTAATTATGAAAGGCAGAATACCAGAAATAATAGAATTTTACAAAGAGTATCATATCATATATAAAAAGAGATATATAATTTAGAAAAAATATTCTGCGATAATATATTTGAACAATATCAATATAGTTTTTGCAGCAAAATGTTCTTTTTGCTAGTGCTAATTCTAGCATATACCAATATGGTATATCTAACAAAAATTGAAGATACATTAATCTGTATAAATGATACAAATTGCAGCGAATCAATAGACTCAACTATATATACACAAAATCCTACAGTTAATGATCTATCTACCTTAGAAATTTCATCAAATGATATAGAAGAGAATAATCCATTCACTACTATCATTCCCATAGATATAACATCTTCAAAAATAAATTCTAATGTAACAGAGCAAGAAGAATTAGAATTAACTTCAACAACAATATCCTCGCCAGCTGTATATCCAGATAATGATGAAGTTCTTATACTCGAAGAAAAAGAAATATGCGAGTGCAATTTGATTGTATGTACATAAATATTTGATTTTGATATAAAATATTAAATTATGTGTGTGTGTGTGTGTGTGTATGTGTTAAATAAATGAAAGAAATATTTTAGTATACATTTAAATAATAACATTGTATACTTCAATATAAAGAAATAATATATCTTTTTTGAAAAAGTATTAATCAATATTTATAAAAAAAGCTATTATAATTCTCTATTATATTTTTATTATGATTCTATTATCTTACATAAACAATCTTCCATTCTGTTTGTACAGAAATTTTCCTGTGATATCAATTGCTGCTGCGACACAGATTGCAATCAGTTTCATTTGTCTGCTTTTTCGCACTGTCAAAATTATCATGTAAAAGTTTATGACAGTCGGTATTGCTACAATCGAAATTTCATACTACGGAACAACACAGCTTTTATTCTTGAAAAACTTGGAAATAATTTATTTTGCATTTTATATGACAATCTTCCATCTACATATAACATCGACAACGATTTGGTAAGTAGATTACATATAATGCATCTGTCGCATACAAATGGAATAGTTCTTTTGTTTTTTTAAACATCTACCCTCTTCACTACTACACACTCTTATAAAGCTCTTAGATCTGCTTTGCATACATTATTAGTAAAGAATATGTGTTTTTGAAAGAATAATTCTATTTACCAGCCAATTTTTTTGAAAGGAAAAATTGAATCTTTTATTTTCTGAATAATTTTTGTTGGCTGGAAAAACATTTTTCTTGTCAAATGCGCATACTTAAAGAAATATAATTGTAGTCAAACAATTTGTAAAAATTTCCTCTAATTGCCTGGTATATATACATTGTTACATGAAATATCATTTTAATATGTTTTCTGACATTACATATGAATTTTTAATTTATTGCTATTAAATATTCTTTATTTCAGATAATAAACAGTGAAAAAGATCTGTGGAGAGTGATACAAAACAAATACAAATGGAAAATGGAAGTTAGTACAGGATTACCCAAGTATAATTTGTCTAAGTATTATCAACATGGAGATATATTGTGGAAATTACATAACAAATCTATTGAATCAATAGGTAAAATAATGAAAATATGATAACGGCTATTTTTATGAATAAAAAAAGTCTGAGAGAAGGGGAGAGGAGGCTCTAACCATTCATATTATTTGCTATAATAAAGAAATTATATAACATTTATTAATGAGACATTATTTCAGACCTTTTACAACCTGGATTCACTGAAATATGTTCGTTTAGAAAGACTTTAAGATATTTGGAAAATTGGAAAGGCGCATGCATACAAAATGATTTGACAAATATGAATCAATATTTGTTCGCCATAACATTCAATAACTTCACAGTTATTAAGTCCTTACCATTATTTAACGACACATTCATTCGAAGACAGGTACAGTTTTAAAATAAAAAAATTCGTGTGTTAAAATATATATATACATATTAAGAAATTTATATATTTTTTTCTTCTCTATTATTATTACTGCAATAGAATAGTGTCAAAACAATTTTTGACAAAATCAATGATAAAGTACTCTACAGTCAAAAATTGCTGTTTTTTTATTTTTTATTTTTTCCTAATTCGATTTTCTTGCACTATTTTCCCATTATTTCATACATTTATTATTAGAGTTAATTTCAGAAATTGTGCTTTTAGGCATGCCAAAGTAATATTTGTTTGTCAATGAGGACTCATTATTGTCGAAACTCGTTTTCCGCATGCAATGGAACCAAAATATCAAGCTTTTGCATAAACTCCACCTGTACCAACATTGTAAAGGGTCTGAAATATGTAATCACTCACAATGGTTCCGCTGGTATCAGCAATATTGACGCATATTTTGATATAGGCAATACGTCTCATGCCTTCTATCAATATTTTGAGGTCCAATACAATTGGATAGATGTGAATAAAACAAAAATCTTTGCTCGTAGTGGAAATCCTGGCTACATAATGGGTAAGCCGATCATTTTCGGTATTTCTCGTGCTAATAAAAGCAACGAAATTTTTTTCAACAAAACTGATGGATTTCTCACATTGCCCTTGGCTGGGAAAAATGGAGAGTGCAATCAAATCAACAGGCATATCATTGCATTTGGTGAAGATGTTAAATTGAGATGCTCTGCCAGATTATTAATAAAAAATTTCACCACATTATCTTGCACAGAACTACAGAATCTAACCATGCGTCTCTTGATGAAGGACTCTTTGCTAAATGCGAGTCAGCATTACAACGCTTATGTTTCCAAATTGGGTAATATTGCCAAGAAAGATACAACCGACTGGTTGCAGATCGTGTTTGACAGGATACCGCAAAATGTCGTCATTGCGCACACTATCGGGAAACAAATCCTATGTTCAGGATTACTTACATCAGTGCACTTTAATATCCTTTATTCGAAATTGCCAGAGCCGAAAACTTTAATGAATCACAAAATATTGGGTGTTGGCATTACATTTGGCAAGGAAGAGGATATTAGTTGGCCAAAGTGCATACCAAAGAATTGTACAGACATCCTTAATATTGACATTATTTCTCATGTCAATTTTTATGATGTGTCAAAGCCATCCAAATATCATTTTGTTGGTGGACCAAATTTGGACATTATGTTACCTTACGATTTTTTTTATCCTTTTTTGAATGGCTCGAAAGAAATAGAAATGTTGAATATATTTGTCCTTTTAGTTATATACTTAGTACTACATGCGAGTATTTAATATAAACATGTATCTATATCATAATTTTATTTTTCTCTTTAATTAAAATTTTTTCTACTTTTATCTTTGATTATGTGTAAAAGAATTATATCCTCTAAAATCACAGATATATATAGCGAATTCGGAGTCACTCGTTACTCGCACTCTGGTATGTACATACTAAAGACTGTTATATATAAAGTATCTAAGATGTCACAAAATATAAACACTGATGGAATTTGCAATAATTAATTTATATTCTGCTAAATAACGTAACAATATATCATTATTGAGTTTCAATTCTTTAAAATGTTTACATTATCTTCTTATATCAGGGTAAAGACTTGTGTATAACCATAGACATAGTATATCTAGACCGAGTGTTGAGGAGTGGGGGCCGATGCCCACGTAGAAAAGGACATACTCTGTTTCGTGCCCCTTGCGTTCTCTCTCGCTCGCACGTAGCATGATGAAAGAGAGCGCTATGCTCTGTGCGAGCGAGAGAGAACGCAAGGGGCACGAAACAGAGTATGTCCTTTTCTACGTGGGCATCGGCCCCCACTCCTTAAATAAAGGCAAACGCTCGGTCTAGATATACTATGTCTATGGAGTACGCTATGTTACGTGCGAGCGAGAGAGAACGCAAGGGGCACGAAACAGAGTATGTCCTTTTCTACGTGGGCATCGGCCCCCACTCCTTAAATAAAGGCAAACGCTCGGTCTAGATATACTATGTCTATGTGTATAACAGTCTTTAGCTCTTTAGTATACACACTAATGCTAGTATCACTATTGAAATTTGACAATTAGCGCGGTAAACCACATATTTTTCCTCCTTGCAATATGGCCTTTATTAAAAGTTAAGATATTTGTTTCAGTTTATTCAATTATACGGATATTTCAATGTTACATCGATATTTTTTTCTGTTTTTCTTTCATTAATTTTTATTAAATTTGTTAGACAAGATCGTCTTGACAGCACTTATAACTATGATATTATATCTGTCGGATGTACTGATTGGCTAGCGACTAGAGAATTTCTAAAGTCTCCAAAAATTTCTTGCGACAGCAGCCAATCAACTGATCGTACGACAAGTTTTCTCGGACATGCAGATTGATTGGCCGCGTTCAGCAGAGAAAACTGCTTAGTAGCAATCGAATGTGATTGGTTCTTACTTTTAGAACCAACGAATCAACGTCGAGTGTTGACAAGACGATAACTGAGCGCTTTCTCTGCTGAACGCGGCCATTGCTAGCGCGAGAAGCTTTCGAAAAATTCTCTATCGGTACATCTAACAAGCTCGTCGATAAACGTGATGGAAAAGAAACATCGAGTTTTATGTATCCGATAAAAGAGTTCGTTTTCTGGAGATGAAAATGTCAGTTGTAACTCACGTTTTCCATTGGATATCGAACTGTCACACATGGCACATGGGGGGAATGCGATGTGAATCCGCCATAATCGCATCCTGCGTACTGTGTGTGTACTGTGTAGTGACCCATGCATCGCTAAGATGGCTGTCACTTGTTAGTAGCGTAATTCCTCTTCGTATTCGATGCGTATTTCGCAAAAGAAGTCGCGTTCCGTTCGTTCGCGTGGCGGTACCGCGTGCCGCTCGTTTTTGCGATTCGTGCATCTTGGACATCCGGAATCGCCCTCTTGAGATACTTGGCGCTTAAACGCCCCGCGTTTGTGGGATGCTGTGCGCGTGAAAGGCGGAACGGTTTGCCCGTCCACACCAGCCATGTTCATCGAGTGTCCTTTTATTGTGACAACGTGATATAATATTTACGCCCGATTGCTCGGCCGAAGGGATTCTTGCGCGCGCATCCACGGCACTTTGTGGTTTTTTTTTCATAAACGATCCCTTCTCGTCTTGTCTCATCTTGTGTGGTGTCGCGTCGCGTCGCGTCGTCTCGTTTCGTCTCTTTTCGTCGCGTATCGTCTCTTTTCGTCTCTCCTCGCCTCGTCCCGCTTCGTCTCGTTTCGTCTCATCTCATCTCGTCTCGTCTCTCGTCCAGTTGAAACTTCTTGTTAGCGTTTACTTGCTGTCATCAAGTATAGATTAAATGAAAGGTAATCGCATCAAAATGTCGTACATTTTTACTTTGTAAGCAATTTTTATCGTTTACATATTTTCTCAACCGTTGATCGAGCATCTTGCACGTCTTGTTGACCTTGCTTATCCCCCCACACACATATTACTGATTTTTAAATTGTATCATTTTCAGAGAACTGTTCGCGAGATGTTTCAATTCCAAGAGCTTTAAAATATCGCTTTCATTATCTTCTCTTGTTCTTAAATATGTTTGATACCGAATGAGATTTTTAGATATTTAATATTACTATACATTCTTGGACATTTAGACATATATTCGAGTGCCTCTATACAATTTTCTAGATTAATACTTTTATGTTGTTTTTCTTTTTGTTAAAAATTTCTTTTTTTTTTCTAGATTTATAAAAATTTTTAATAGCTTTTATGCATATTTACATTCTTAAAAAAAAGATGACATGATTGAATGTGACAGTTGTATATTTGTAATCTCTTCCAACTATGTAAGACGTGTGTGTATCAGTTAAACAATCTCTATTATGAGAATATTTATATATATAGAATAAAATTTACTTCTACATCACACTCATCATTTTGTATGTATAGGTTATTTATTTACTGTATCATATTTTGATTACTACACCTTGGAGAATTAAATTATAGATAATCTTATATGCAAAATAAAAAATTACATTATTATGCAAGCAAGAATATATATCTTTTTATTGATTTTGAAAGCTTGTAAATATACTAGCTTTTGTTGAAATATAAGTTTGTAATAAATGTGTCAAATTCAATTTTTATATAAACATGTATGGATAAATGTCATGAGGAGCTTTCCAGGAAGAAACACACATAGATAGAATGTCACGTGATTGATTATCAAATAAAAAAATTTTCAGGATTTCAAAAATTCTCTACTTGAAAGCCAATTAGTTGACATTGTGTCTACTTGTGTTTTCTTGCTGAAAAGTTTCCATGGATACAAACAGAATGTACCATATAAAATTATATATTGCATCTCGCAATGTATCCCAAAAATACAATTCTTTGAAATCCTATTATAATTTGATAATTTGATAAAAATACGACTCATTGAAATCCTATTATAATTTGATATTTGACTCCTATTATGATTTGATACAAACCAGCAGGTTGAATACATTAAACATTTTATTATAGCTATTTTATTCTCATTGTCATAATATATTTCTATTAACAAGTGATTGTCTACCTATAAAAGTTTTGACATCGTACATATATGTGATTGCTGCTTTAAATGTATAAAGATAAAAGAGCTTAAGATCTTGGGAATTGTACAACAAAATCTATATTAATGTTAAACCTGCTTTATATAGAATATATTGTAAGAAATATATATATATATATTTTTAACGGAAAAGAAAAGAGATGTGAGATAGTACAAGCCTAATTAAGTGTTTGTGCTATATAATGTTTAAAATACATCTTTTATAGTACTATGTAAATTTGTTCTTTGCACAGTGGAATTAGTTTTGATCTTTATTTAGAATGACAATTAATTGTTGATTAATTATTTAATTGCCAATCTTTAACTGAAGAAGATGTAATTAAATCGAAATTTGCTTTATGAAGGGTGGGAGGATAAGCTTGAATTACAAAGGATTTAAAGAAAGTTAATTATGAGAGAGATGTATTTCAAGTACTATATGGTACAAATACTTGTGCCTATGGCTTGCACTAGCTTTGGCAGCCAGACTTGGATTTTTTTTTAAAAAAGCCAATATTTTTTCATTTTTTATTATAATTTCAAGCTTTGATTTTTCATAGATAATTTGTATTGATTAGTTACTATCTATATTTATTACTTTATTATATCTATTCTTGTCGTAGACGCTATTGACATATTTAATATTAATGCTATTTCGAATAAATAAACAAAAATTAATTTTGTTAATGTAAATAGCATTATTAATTTATGTTTAATGCATGTGTGGAAAGAGAGATAAAATTAAGAATTACATATTAATTAGACAATTCTATATTAGTAAATTACTCGCCGATGAACTAAATCTTTTTTTCCATATATCAAACAATAAAAACTGATAATTCTTTTTCATCCACATGAAAATATTATCTCGCATAAGTTAATCAGTTTGGTCAAAGTGTACTTTAAAATGGGATTTATGATACATTTCGGGGACATTGTTGTTGTTTTTTTTTTTTTTTTAATCGATGTCTAACGAATTGTTTTTTTTTTATTTATTAAAAGAAACAGTCTGTATTCATTATAAGAATTATTGCAGGTCGGTAGCAACAGTGGTGAGGCGGGGTGGAGCTCGAAGAAGGGATGAATGGAACGGCAGCGCTGCGGCGCAGCGTCGGGGCTGGTCAGGCAGGCGCCATCAGTGGTGGAGCCATTGAACCAGCACCTATCGCCACTCTTGTTATATACAAGGATGATGCTGGATTCGGAATGAAAGTTTCTGGCGACAATCCAGTCTACGTTCAATCCGTAAAAGAAGGTTCGCATTAAAGCTCCATTAATTTGCATTAACATTTGCATAATTATTGTTATATTGTTATTAACAAACACACACACACACACATACATAGACTGCGTTCGGAAACCACCCGTTTGCATACGAGCGCCGTTCTATCTTCGTTATTTACTACTTTACTTGTATTACGACTTTTATTTACTACTTATGCACGACAAGAGCCAGATGTTTACCGAGATTTCTTTCAAATTCATGGCAAGGTGGGACAATGAATTTTCCCAAGGATTAGATTGAAAAGTAGTCATTAGTTTCTATTTTAACACAATAAGTCCAATTTGTACATAAGATATAAATGAAAGTGGTAATAAAACAGGGAACCTTACTTTTTGATTCATCCTAGCATATATATACTTAAAGATTATTACAAGTATGCAATATGATTTTTGCAGGTGGCGCAGCAGCAAGAGCCGGTCTTCATGCAGGTGACAAGATAATCAAGGTGAATAAAAATGAGTTAATTATTGAAATTTAATAAAAAGGAATAGCAAAAATCTCTTTAATTATTAGATTGTTGATTACTTTTCCATTAATATGTGTTGTTTACTTTGATTATCTCATTATAGTTGTGTACAATTTTATACTTACTGTGAAAAAGTTTTATTTTATACAGTGGAACACTCGATGTATATAATTGCATGTAGATTGTTTTTATCTTGTGCTCGTGTTGTTTCTTGCATTACATCATTACAGCCAATAGTATATTTCTAGACATGTATTGTGAATCCTTCCAAATTTATAACCAGGTTTTACATGGTAAGATCCTTCGGTTAAGTTAAATAAGGTTAGGTATATTAGATCCGTTAATTTAGATTTCTTTTCCTTGACAGAAATATCAATGCATTGATCAAGTTTTTGAGTTATTAGTTACAAAAGATCAAATAGCATCTTACATATAACAACATAGTAAATCTATATTTTCGTCACTAAATTTTAAGGATTTTACTCAACCCTTTTGTTATTATAATACACAGATGTTTGTTGAAACTTTGTTGCATATATATATATTTATTTATATAAAGATATATTATAAAATAAACTATATTGTCAAATCATAAGCAAATTTCAATAATATTTTAACGTTGTCAAGTTTTTAATCTTAAAATAATCTGTATAGATGGATTAAGTGATTCTTAATAAGATCATTAAGTATTTTTATTTTGCAGATAAAAAATAATATGCGTGGAGCAATGTTGTGTACAATACAGCAGTAGCTTTTTTATTTTCTTTTGTAGAAAGTTAAGTAAAATTTTAAATTTTTTAAAATTTATGTCATACAAGATAATCTATTTTAAAATGATAATTGTTATTATTTTCCAAAAATGAGGCATAATATATATAATTAATTTACATGGATTACATGGCAACACACACATACACATTTATTTTATGATTCATCTAATATCAGAAGGTCATATAAATGTAAAGTAATATCAGAACAGCGCAAAAAAAAGAGGTGATAAAGAATAGAAGAATATATAAAGAATATAAAAGTTTAATTATTAATTATTCCATCTGCATACAGAAATCTATTAATATTAAATTGATTAAAATGCAATTATTAGAAAAACAGACAAGGAGAAAAAGATTCAAGAATTAAAGAAATTAAAAAAATAATATAACTTTATAATTCAAATAAAATGTTACATATAATGTGATAAGTAGTTTTTTTTTTCTTTATTTTTATTAAAGGTGAATGGAGTCAACGTGATGCAGTCTACACATACGGATGTGGTCCACCTCATAAAATGTAAGTATTCTTTGTTTTTCCTTAATCTTTATTTTATTTAGTAGATTGAGGTATTATTGATGCTGCGAGGTATGGTACTATTTGTGTGTGTATTTTTCTATTTTTACTTTCTATTTTTTATTAAGATATATGTTAATAATATTGTAATGTATGAAATGTGTATTTAGAATGAACTGTATCTTAGAAAGAAATGTTTGTGTATACTTTATATAATTCTATATTAGAAGATCTTATATATTATTGGATATTCTAATATTTGTAAATGTTATTATTTTGTGATTTTTCTTTTTTTTATAAATAATAAGAATTCAGTTATATAAATATCTTTATTTTAATCAAAATTTTCTTATGAAAAGAATGATTGTACGTCGGTGGTTTTACATAATCTCACACACATACACACGAAAATTCAAAGCATAAGAATCATTTTCAATGATGTAAGCATGCAGGTTTATAGCAGTGACCGTTTCAGTCGTCTATTTCATCTCGATACAGACGTGACGCGTACACGAGCTTTTAACATCACGTTTATATGTTTGTTCTACAGATATATCTCCGAATTGTATAATACTGTGCGCGGCATGATTCTTAATAGCTTAGTGGCTTAAATCGAATTTTTTTCAATTTGATAAATGACATCAAGTTGTGTCTGGTAATTGTTGTTAATGTTAAATAGAATGTGGAAATACTTTTATATAAATATGTATATATATATATATATATAATATATATACACTCATATGTGTGTTTAAACTCATATCAGAGATGACTCAAGTTTATTTTCTGATGCGTATTTATACGATATTTTTCAATAATATTACAAGTTATGGACAGTGATTCAATTTGTGCTTACAAGAATTTTAATATTTATTATTCTCTTATAGCACATCAGATAGATTGTATATAGAATTTGTAAATTTGTGTGTGTTTCTAAGTTTTTTTTATAAACTGCTGTACTAGTAGTATTGGGAGTAATTTTATAATAAAGAATTAATTATAATAAATTAATAAAATTAATTTAATAATTTCTTTATTTTAAAATTTTTGGTATATACTTATTAGAGAATTGAAACAAAACACAGAGAGAAAGAGATAGAATGTAATAAATAAACAATTTAATACGATCATAAAGACTATATTTTTTACAAACGTTTATAAAAATAGAAATTGTCTCAGAATTTTTTTCTATAAATCCATCTAGAGTGATAATGAAAAAAGCATTTGCATATACCCTCTCCTTTTTAGGTATAATTTCACACAAAGAAAAAACTTTTTTGTCGCAGTGTGCTTTGTTCAAATAAAAACAATGACATTCTAACAGAAATTAATATTTTGCAATATATATATAATATCTGTTTGCTTTATATAAAATTATTCCAAATAAGATAAATTGCTGGATGAGAACGAAGATGTGTGTCTGTGTGATATTAAAGTGAATGGCAAGAAGATAAAAGGGGCGATGAAAAATGTAAAGAAAAAAACAAAAGAATATAAAAAAGTGGAGGGTTGAATGTGATACGATTAAGACGTTGTAAATCAAGTTTATTTTCAAATTTATATATTTTATATGATGATACATGATGCCTGAGAGGATTTAACTTTGTTGCAGCATCAACGCAAGTGGTATTAACGGTGCAGCAGAAACCAGTGGCAGCGACGAGCGCGGTGACAGTGACAGGGACAGCGACAGCAACAGCAACGACAGCTTCCGGTTTGCAAGTCGGAATAGTAGGCGCCGCAGCGAGTCAACAGCATCAACGTCCTGTCAGTTTGTCGGCGGCCGGAAACATGTCACCCTCACAAGCGACCATCTCTCTTCACAGAGCATCCACTGCACCGGCGGGCAGTGCTTCGTGTAATGCTCGAATCACGGGTCCACAACCGGTCGATGTAAGTAGAAGAGCGTGTCCCGAGCTTTCCGTTTCTTTCAACCATAAGCGAGAGAAACCACGAGCTATTGTGAAGGAGTATTACGGGATTGAATTAGGCGCAGAGAGGACGCTATTTATGAGATATATCAATTGGAGATATTTTGACTCTAATTATAAATGCATGTAATAATCTATAAACTGTACGCTCCCAATCTTAATTGTAAACGACGTGTACAGATATTTGAGAACGTAATCTCTTTTCTATTCTCCCCAGTTCTCCCCCTTTATCTCTTTAACTCTTATGTTAGAGAAAGAGAAGGTAGCACCGCGATTCAAGCTTTTCTTTTTCTTTTTAAATGCAACATTGGAACACTTGATTAGAATGTGCAGCTTATACTTAATATGTTTATATATTCAAATGGCGAAAATAAATCTAATCTAATATAATCTAATATAATATAATAAATAAAGATTACATTAGATCGGAGCTAAGTGTATACATACATACATAAATGTACATATGAAACATAATTTCTTAATTTATGTAGTTATATTAACTGCTAGCACACTAATACCATAGACATAGATATTCATGACTAATATGCATGCTAGTTGTTAGAAAAAAGTTAGAAGACAGTTTTCTAAATGTCTATATATTACTATCGTTTTAAATATTATCCTTATCTTTTACAGCTTGAAAAGAAGCGCCAATTGGAAACACAAAGAGTTCACACATTCCAGCTTATGTTGGAGAAAGAACAAAGTTATGTAGATAAGTTACGGAGCGAGTTGGCGAAAGCTGGCACCGGTAATGGAAACGTCAATATCGCGACTTTACAAACAGAGCTAGCGGGTGCCGAAAGAAGAGTGCGCACCTTGCAGGAACAGCTCGCAGCGATTAGCACGAGTAATGAACAGGTCTGCATATTTATCTCACATTTCTCTGTATTGTCTCCTTGTATGTTATAAATTTCTTCAATGTTAGATTATCTACATTCACCTTTATTGGAGAGGAATGTTAACCAATTGAGTAAGGAAAATGTTGGCAGTATACCAACAATTGTCAGTAGTATTAAGCTGCTCGCGTTCTATCGGCAGAGGCTGCCGCTAATTTGTGTTAAATTGTGTTGCAAGTATGCCAAAATCTGCTTGATTTTTGCCGTCGAATTTTGCTATATTTCTGCCGGTATTCTGCCAGCATTTCCTATACGCCAAATCCCGTATCAAATTTGTATATATATAGTCTTCTTCCGACAAAATTTGTAGCAGACACTTTGCAAAATCTGTTTTCGACAGATTTGGCTATCTGGGTTATATCTAATGCATCTAAGAATTCGAAAATACAGGTTGTAATTAAATGAAGAAGCACTAGTTTATGGAATTAAAGAAAAAAATTAATTTTAAATTATAAAGTTCTAATAAACATATATCTGTAAACATGCGCTTACTAAAAAACGATATGCAATACAATGTATCTGTTACTATGTTCATTTAAACTTTTTACTAAGAATTGAATTTCTTTCTCAATTCAATTAGTATTCTTTTGTTAGTTCTATATTCTGTATATTGTTATAGCCAAGACTCTAGGAAAACGCCTGTATAAATCTGACATTTAATCTTATCAATGTGGCAAATGGGTTAATACAGAGTAGTCTGTTATAGCGTACAAACTACTAGGGTACAATTGGAAAATGAGTAATTCTGAATGAAAACATTTTCCGTAAATGTAATTTTCTTTTTCTTTTTATACAAAACTTTATTTTCAAGAAAATCGGAAAATAAATATCTTTTTCTCTGTTTATATGTTATATCACTTTTGACAATGTGAGGATGATAGGTCAATGAATTCATTTTAGCGAATGGAACAGCTCTGTTCCAGAATATGAATAAAAATATAATACTATCTATTTTTAAGAAAGTAAAAATAATCCTAATATTTTACATAATTTGGCAATTTTAATTTTTCTTTATTATTTTTTTTTATACAAATATTTTAATATTCTTATTTATATATTTTGACAACCGCTGTTGAAATACATTAGAAACAGATATATGTCACAAAATAGTTAAAAATTGCCTAAACTTGTTGTTCGTAATGACATATTATATTATATTAATTTCTCAATTTTTACACACATACAAAATTGATTTTTTTTTTTTTTAACAAAACACGGGGAAAAGATTTTCCTCTACACTTTTTTTTTTATTTTTTAGTATTATCTCTTTTCCAGTTGTACCACCGACAACAGACCAACTTGTATAACGATCTACCGTGAATGCACCGAAGCTTTCGCCCACTTTTGCTAACCCATCATTGTGTCTTACAGCTTTGCCTTTTCGGTAACAGCAATCTTTTGTTGTGTCTTACAGCTTTGCTCGTTGGTAACAAACACCTCGTGCTCCTCGGGCTATTATCCACTTTCAAATAACGGCAGTGGCACAGACGTGCCACCCCCACTGCCATCGCGTAAATCCTTATCCATGCAAAGTCTCTCTCCACCGCCTTTGCCTCCCAGACCTCCACCCGCCGCAAATACGCAAAACACAGCCCAGCCGGAGCTGGACCGACATCTGTTGACTCATTTAACGCCCTCAACCGTCAGTCACAGTATTCCTAACTCTGTAAGTAGCCTAATCATCCGATACCATTACATTAATGCCCATTGTTCTGTATTTGTTTTATGCTCGTGCTGATAAATGTATATACATAATAGTGAAGTCATAAAGAAATCAGGGAATCTAAAAATTCAAAAATTTTAGATTTCAAAATGATTGTTAGTTCCCTCCCTCTCAGAGTGTTCAAGATTAACTTACACACTAGTGTACTAATTGTTCATAATTGTTCAATTAATTTTTTATGTATTTTTTACTATCTAATTTTGTAATTCAAACATAATAAACTAGTAAACTTACTAGTAAACTAGTAAACTGAAAGTTATAGTTAAATTTAAGTTAAGAAAAATTATAAATGTTATATATAAGAAATATAAATGGAACTTAATAAATATTCTATACAAAGATATATGTACTGCTATACACACACACGATTTTTTTTTTATATAAGGGTTGATCTTATATATAATGAAATCTAATTATACAAATATTTTTTTTATGAAAAATAATTTCTATAGAACACTATTTCTGGAATAAGTACCAAACTGTGAAACATATATAATGCATTATTTTTCAGTTTTCCCAGGATGCCAATTTGAGCGCTTCAAACGCGCTCACCAAACATCAACGAACAAAATCGAGTCCGGAACAATTAGGAACTACAGCGATATCTCCGTCAGAAGCTAGTAGACGATTGATCGCATCTGAATCAATGAGTGATCTATCACCTCCAAGACATCTTAAACACAATGATATCGATGTCAATGAATTACCACGTATTACTCCACCGGGGACACCTCCGCCACCATATCCAGCCCCCATTTTAGGACAAGATATTTTTTCGTCTACACCAAATGATGTAAATATTTTATTGATTTTAACCTGTTTTCAAACATTGTATATCACTTATTGATTTTCTTATTGAGGTTCCTGATTCATTCTTGTAACTATATTGGATTATAGTTAGACGTTAAAAAAAAAAAATTATAAACTTTGTTGCACTGTCAAAATTTAATTAATTTTGCTGCCTTATGCAGCTAATAAGGGATTAGAAACCTTAAATATTTGTGTTATTTATGGGTTTAATTGTATTGTATATATATGTTGTAATTGATAGTTTTTTTGCAACAAGCATACAATGTGAACTTGAGAATTTTAAATAAAAAGAAACAATACAAATAATAAAAAAATATACTAATTCTTCGATTTTATTTTTAAGATCAATTTTTATTCTATATTTCCAATTTATTTCTTATGAGATTTGTTCTATTAATTATATTATTAATATAATAGACAGATATATGTAATAAACTTTATAATCTATATATATAGATCTATATATATAGCTTATATATATGTATGTATGTAAATATTATTTTCCCATTTCTCTTTTTATATAGCTTCTTTATAATAAAAACTTTTTCTGTAATAGGCACTTGCAACTGATATCATTCCTGGATTGCCAGCATTTCAACAGCCAATTATGTCAATGGAAGAAGATGATGTTAGTGATCAGGAAATTGTAAGATATCGTCTGAAAATTCGTATATAAAATGCTTTCCAATATCTTCAGACGTTGACTTTTTAATATTTTCAGGGTCAATTGGAAGATCACGGACCATTCCAATCTTTATCCAGGCTGTGGGGACATCATGCACACCTTGCTGTATTTATTAATTATGTTTTATCTAATAGCGATCCTTCTAGCCTGGTATGTATAATTGATTGTTTATTGTGCTCAAAGATATTAAAGACAATTGCATATAAAATTGTATATAAAAATGTAAATTATAAATATTTACATTGGTATATTTTTACAGTTATTTTATTTGATAACGGATTTATATAAGGAGGGAAATGCCAAAGAAATGAGAAAATGGGCATACGAGATTCATTCTAGTTTCCTAGTACCTGGTGCGGTAAGTCTTGATAGATAATACACAAAAATAATCTTAGAATTATTTATAATATATATATCTCATTTAACAAAATTCAAATTCAATTCATATTATTTTTGACATTTGTACTTACATAAATGTTGATTTTGATATAATAAATAGTATTTTTTGTTCAGCCATTACGTCTGCATAATGTAGATGAAAATGTTGCGAATGAAATAGACGACGTTCTCTTGAAGGAATCTGATAAAGAAGAAATTCTTAGAAAGGTATGTCAAAGTATTGAGTAAACTAATTTTATATATGTTGTGTGAGATGTCCGTAAATTTCAATTTAATTTATTTATCCAGAAATATTTATAAGAGTCTAAATAATGAAAGTTTCTCTGAGACTCTCTTTTTATTTTGCACAGTTAAATTTAAACTCTATATATTGGCGATTTTTTCTTCTGAATTTAACAAATGCAATAAATCTTTTAACAAAATCTTAATATTTTTCTATGCAGATATTTTGGAAAGCACGTAATAGAGCGAAGGAAGAATTGAACGAACAACTGACACATTTCCAACAAAAAAGAACCGCAGGATTGGCCACGATCTTTGGCCCGACCGATATTTCGCTTGATGAGAGCATATCTGACAAAACGCGTGAAACAAAAATTATTGAAACATACCTGCTGCCAAAGATGGAACCTTATTTGTAAGATTTGTCTTGGAATTTGAACAATTTTTTTTAGGAGACTTAGTATTACGTATTATGTGCATTTATAAAAAGCAGAATATGTGTATATAACATAATATATATAATCTTTTATCTAAAACGAATTATAACTTGTTCCTAGATTTACTCTCTATAATTGATCAATGAGTAATAAGCCAAAAACAATATGATAATTGTATACTTAGAGATATATCATTGACAATTTTTATAAGAGATACATCATTACATCGGATAATATAATGCGGAAAAATTGTGCAAAATTTCAGGGAGGATATAGAGAAGGAACATGTGGATTTGCGGCTATTCACGACAGCAGCTGGTCTAGCTACAATATTGATAAAGATATTTCAATTGCGACCAGTATGGGCTGATCGAGTGCCTACTTTTGTCGCAAAAGATAAATCCAACATCAAAGCACGGCTGCTTACTGGAAAAACGCGTAAAATGACGATCAGAGGACATCATTTCGTGGCACATCAATACTTCACGATAACTTACTGCAATCATTGTCAACTTATCATTGGTGGTATCGGCCCTCAAGGATATTTATGTAGTGGTACGTAAGATGTATAATAACATATTTACAAGACCCCTGGATCAAACAGAGAAAAATAGATTTCTCTTGAGCATTTTTTATAAATAATTTTATAAAATAAATAATCAAACTTTAAAAATGTGGATTCTAGTTATAATAATACAGGAATGCAATCGTTATTGACATTTATTTATATCATAAATTATTTACTACTTATCTCATAAATTACTGTGATTTTGAGACATATTATGGAGAGTGAAGCACATATAGTACATAGCATTATGATTGAATGATATGGGAGAAACGGTATTATTCAAGCAAAGTTTGTTATTAAAAATTTACTTTTAAAAAAGATCTTTTATCTTCAATCACTTATAAAATTATTAAGATTATTAATCTCTCGACGTTTTTTTAAATGAAGAATGGACTTTAAATTAATAAGACAATTGTAACAATAAAAGATGGAAAAGTAGCAAGTTCTAAAATAATTAAAAAGATTATATTCAATATATAACACGAGACCAATTCTCTCAGGCTTACTTTTTTTTATTTTTCTTTATTTTATATGAAAGTTAATATTGATTTTGCCGAAAAAAGCTCATAGTTTAAAACTTCAATCAAGTATTACACTTTGTTCTTTTTTTTTTTTGATATCTTTATTATTATTATTATTATTATACAATAACATTTACCTCGTTTTTTTGAAACTCGTATAATTTGATGTATCTATAGAATTTTCTTTATATACAATATAATATTGCATATATACAATGATCGTTCATTAAATGATTGACAGATTGTTCTCTCAGCGTACATCGACAATGTGTTCGTGTGGTAGAGGAAAATTGCCCGGGTCCTTTGGTGCGAAAAGAAAGAGCCAATGATAGAATCAGTAAACTGATGGAGCGTATTCGACCCGAGAGGAAACCTCCATCTCATCATCACCATCATTCTCAGAACCATATATTACATTGTAAGATCAATTTTTAATATTTTATGCAAATTGAATTAATTTACAGTAGATATTAATTATCGGTAGACAAAAACAATTGGTTTATCGAGTGTTAAACTTTTGATTATTTATATAATGCCATAAAAAAAATTATTAATATTGAAAGATTCATAAAAGAATTTATATTGTTTCATGCATGTAAAAGCTTTATTTTTTTTTTACATCTTTTTCATATCTTTTACTATTAATTACAGCAATATGGCTTTTTGCCACATTATGTGCGCGCACATGTTTTTTACTAAAAATAAACATAGTTTGTTTTATATATTGAACTTCTCATATAAAGTTAAACTTCAGAACTAGAATAACAGTTATAGAAAACAATAAAATTTATAGCTTGAATAAAGACAATGCGAGTCAGAATGCTAATAAATCGGTGTGGAAATAATCTATTAAAACAAGAAAAAATTATTCTTTATAGAATATCTTGACCATTAATTTTGGCTTCTCTCCTAATCATTGTTTCATAGAAGCAAGATATTTCTAAAATAATATTTTTCTGAGCCAAATATTTCTACATCACCAAATCGAAATTATTTATGTTTTATATTTTTGCATCTGTAAACTATCACCTACTTTTGTGAAAGAAAGCAGCTGAAAATGATCTTAATAAAATCGGAAATTTTTTATTTCAAAGTATCCTATATAGAAAGTAAGATAATAAGATTTTAATAAATAATGGTATTTGCACACCGATACTAGCGTTTTAGCTTGCATTGCCTTATCTTTATTTACTTTGAAAAAAAAACTGTTATTTTAATTTTTATTTTGCAGTAGACAAAATCAAAAGAAATGAAGAAGATTCCGGTACATTAACGGATGGAGAAAATGGTAAGTCTCTTTTCTCTTTCACTCATTATCTTTTTCTTGCTTTTTTTACTTTTTTAAACAAATAATAAAATGAGATTTTTTAATAAAAATTAGAATTACATGCAGAAAAGTATTATAATTATTTCTTTGGTACAATTACTTTTTTGGAAATTATACTTTATTTAAAAAGGAATAATTATTTCCAAATTATGATCGGAAAAGCATATCATTCTAATAAAAAATTTACAGTAACATCACTGTCATAGAATTGTATTATGCTATATATTTAGGCGCGAGAGGCTACTGCGTTTCTCGATCATAATAATTATTTTTGTAAAATATTTTTTATTCTTATAACACTCAGAATTAATAAGCAGAACTAATAAAACATATCAGTAATTAAACGTCAGAAAATGCCAAATTGAATGCGTTCTTTATTGGATAATATGACCTTAATATATCGCTGTCAATAATATCAGTGTATTATCGCGCGAGCGGAATAGCATGAGCTTCGAAACAAATCAGTCTTCTACAAGATCTTTACTCGCGCGTTGTTTCTTTTTCCGTTTCTTGCCATCATTTGTATAATTTATCGAATAACTTTGGCAAACGGCAAATAGTGCTTGTATTTTTCATTCAACACACACACACATTTCTATCCACATTATATACAGAAAAATATATAACTACAGAAGATGAGAAAATTGTGATAGCATATATAACAAGGTATTTGTGAAGAATATGTAACAAGATATAATAACGTTAAAAGGCAAGGCGTTTAATATAGTCGTAAATTGAATTTTTCACTATTAAACTCATTGTTATACGAAAAGCTTAATAAACGGGAATTGTTCCTTGTATTATAATAAAAACGTTAAAAAATTTACAAAAAATAGACTAGTAAATAGAAAGAAATATATCTGTAAGACAATATTTGTTTGTGTGTGACTTTGGTTAAATAAAGTAATTTGTACATGTGACATATTTCTGTAGATACTCGGAATAATAGCCTACAGGCGGACAGTAATGAGTTAGTTGATAATGTTAATAATCTCACATACATACACACATACATACATATATACATACGATTAGAATTAAGAGAAATTTTTCAAGATTATTAGAATAACACAGAGTTAAAATAAATAAATTGTAAATTATGTAATAATGCCTGGTTAAAAACCATATATCTGAATTATAAAATTTTTGTTTATAATCTCAATTTTAACTCTGCATTGATATTTGTAATTCTAGGAGAACAGCGGTCAAGCAGTATAGCCGGAAATGCTCGTAGCAGTTGTGAAAGGTCGCGAATTTCCGGTTTAGGAGGAATTAACGATCATACCGATAACATGGACAATCCTTCATCACGAGAAGATATTTCCGAAATGTATGTATCTAGATAGTGGCACATTTTATCTATTTATCTATTTTCCTATCCATACTGATAGTTTTGCACAGAAATGCTTCACAAAACATATTAATACATTCATTTATTTCTCCAAGTTCAATAATTAATCATTGTTCAATCGTTGTTTTAATGTCTTTCGATGTGTATAATGTCTTTGAATTTGAAATCGAACGTGTTTTATATTCTTTTAGTTTCTGTTCCAATTTTATGAACTAACTTTCATAGATCTATCGAAATTTATATAGATATTTTGATTGAATTACAAGGCGTGCCTAAAAAGTAATATAAGGATTTATTCTTATCATGTAAAAACTACAAATAAATCACATTATGTGATTTATACACGAATTTTTGTTATTTTTTTAACAGTCTTTTTTAAAAATTCTCTATAATCTTATATAAATGTATTGTGTAAAGAATTTTAGTTAAATTATATAATATTTTCTTAATGGTAAATTTTTTTAATGTTTCGCGCGGAAATTAATATCGATTACATATTAAATCATATTAAATAGATGGTTGAGAAAAACTTGAATATATTTCAAAATTGGATACTGAAGAGTTTAAAAGAAGAGATTATTTGTTACTAAAATTATTTTTTATTCATAATTTTGTCCTGAATATTGATTGCCAAATAAATCAAGTATATGTCACAGTTTTCAACCAGTTATATTTATCAGTGTTTTTCATATATCTAAAATTTCATAAAATACGCGATAGTGCCTTTGTGATATCACTCTACGGCCCGATTGCGGCGGATCAGACAAATTGTCCTGTTCTTATTTTGATATTGTCCATCATTGTGCTCAAGATGATATATACCGATGCGAAAATTATATTTTTTTTTATTGCCATGTCTCCGTATACGACAATTGTTATGTTTCTTGCTGAAAGAAATTCACTCACTATTCTTTGTTTCGTATGTGGCGCACATATCGTTAACAGACTTTATTTTCAACTCACTACTTCGCTATTATCTAATAGCGATAAGTCTTGAAACTATATGCATAATAACGAGATGTTTGAGAATTACATGAAAAAATACACACATGAGAGAAATTACTTTTTTTATAGACATATTTTATCTTTTTATAAAATTAAGAAGCTAAGAAAATGTATATATTACTTTCCGGGCACTTCTTGTATTAAAATGTATATATATGTTGTTTTTTATATTTTGTCCACACATAATCTCACGAAGCATTGTATTCCAACTAAATCATTAGATTTATGAATTTCTGCATTCTTAGGTTCTAAATTTAATTCAAATTTTTTTTTCTATTTGTTGAGTTTTTTTAACACCAAACATTCTCAAAAATCGTTGATTTTTCAGATAATTTTTTAATTACATAACAGTATCGCGAGGATATTGATAATGAATATACATTATTCTATGCGTCCGATTTGTTTGCGTCGTGGACAGTAAAAAGATTTACGCTTTGTTAATTACGATTACTTAGGGTCCAGCAAAATATTTCCAGTAAGCCAAAGACGTCAAACATCAACAGGTCTGAAAGTTACAAGGAGCGGATACATCATAAGGTAACTAAAAACACATTATTTATAAATACTCAATATAATGCTAAAGTTACCATCTATTAAATTATTTTATGCGACAATTAAAAAATATTAAATTTTTACTACGTTTTTAACTTATTAAAAATCATATATTATTATATAATATAAAGAATTTTATTGAAATCACATTTACACAGACACACAATATATTTAATAATCTATTTTACACACCATACAAACATAATTGCGTGTATGCGTGTCTCGAGTTTCATATCAGGATGTTTGTATTTAAAAAAATGATTTCATAATTTTTGCCATCCATTGACGGATAGACACCCTGTATAAGATAATATGCATACCCTATAGATTTGGATAATTTATCTTTCTTAATAATTTTATTACATAATTTACAGAGAGAATTAGGCATATGTTCAACTTTTTCCTTAATAATGAGCGAATATTATTAAAATATATATTTCTTCTTTATGAGAGGATATATTGTAATCTCTTATTTTATTGCTTTGTCTTAATTACTAAAATTAATATTGAAAATTGTAATTGTGAAATATTCTTTCGACATTTCGAGACAGAAATGTATCTAAAAAAAATGCATCAAGTATTCATAAACATCATATGTTACTACATTGTTTAGCAATAAAACTCAATTGCTCTAGTATAGCTATATATAATTTAAGTAAACTTATAACTAAAGTGGCATATTTTCAATTGCAGCGGCAACTGAGAGAAAAGAGGAAGACCAGCGATCCGAATCTCTCCAAAACAAAGTAAGTATTTTTTATTATATTTACATGTTGATATTTGTGCATTGATTGAGTTCCTTGTGTGATAATTAATTGTGGCAAAATGCTATAAATTTTTAATGCACACGAGTATAAAACTGCAAACATTATAGACCATTTTGAAAGATCAATAAGATTTAATAACAATATTAATACTTATTATCATGATAGATATTAATAGTATCATGCAAACGAATTTACAATTGCACATGATAAGTGTCTTGTTTATCAATAAATTATATCGGGCAGTGTCAATGTGTATAGTTAAATAGATAAAATTCTTTCTTTATGGTTATTTTTCTTCAAAAGTATCGTAATCGATTGGAAAAGTATTATACTTAATATATATATATATA